CTCCCTTGATATCAAGGAATAGTGCACCAACCTTTTCGTTATTATTAAAAACCTCAAGGATAAAATTTTTGAGATATAAAATATTGTGAGCACAAGATTTTCCGCTACGAAAACCATTCTGGAAGGTGGGGAGGATATCAAAACGTTCCGCCCACCATTCAAGCCTTCCCTGCAGGATCTTCTCGAATAGCTTCATGAGATTGCAAGCAAGCGATATTGACCTAAATCCAGTACCGTTAGGCTTTGGGATAAAGACCATTAGAAAATTTTTCCAAGAAATTGGAACAATACCAGCTATAAAGAAAGCATTAAAAAGATGTTTAATGTAACAGAGAACAGAAGGAGAGAAATGCTTAATAATCTCCCACGTTAATTGATCATGGCCAGGAGCCGTTTTCTTTTTACACATATACTTGAGGTTAGTGTTAAATTCAGAGGCAAAACTCTACTCGGTCAACTCTATGGATCCCTTAAGGCTCGTCTACAATTTCTGTAAGAATATGACTGTAAAGTTGTAAGACGCGAAATGAATTATTTTCATTTGCTGACAGCTCACGTTACAGCCTTACAGCCATATTCTTACTAGAGATACTCGATTCTGAATCGATTCGATTCTTTTCCCAAAAATAGATTTGTATGTACTTGACCGAAAAAAAACTCCGGTTGGAAAACTATTCTTTAAAATCGTTTGTATTTTGTATGAAGAGTTTTGAAGTGTAATTGAAACGATTTGTAAATCATTGTATTATTTGTAATTAATTGTTCTTTTTCCCTTATAGAAATATCATACTAAGAATCATTGATAATTACTTATTATCCAGTATTTTTAATACTGAAAATAAGTAATTATCAATGATTCTTAGTATGATATTTCTATAAGGGTTTAGACTATGTATTTAGCCGGAAATAATGACCGGAGGTAAATTAAACAAAGGTTCGGTATGGTATCGTTTGTATTTTGTATGAAGAGTTATGAAGTATCATTAAAAAGATTTGTAAGTCATCCAGATAATTTCAATTAAATATTAAAAAATTGTATTTGGCCGAAATATCGATCTCAAGCGCTGCTGTGGAAGTACCGTCAGGCACGATCGGTGTACTATCTAGTATTTCAATACTCATGGCTCATTTTCGGGTAATTATGTATAATAAGGCCTTTTTCAAATTTTGATATTTTTTTGCAGCTCTTTTGGTAAAAATATTTATTTTGACTCCAACATTGATAATTAATCGGGGGAGTCCGAAAAATATGCAAGTTATATATTGTTTTAACTTTTTTTTATTTTTTTTTTACTTGTCAAACGTTGCTGTTTTCCCACAATTTAAACAAGTTACTGATCTTTTAATCACATTATTAGCATGTTCGACTGGCCCTGGGTTAATCGCTCCGAGAGCGATTAATGACGTCATAAGTCTCTACTAGCCAATCATAAAGCTTGTAAGTACTTGTTCAACCAATAAACGTAGACTGAATAACCCAGAGTGGGTTAACTCAGAGTCAGTCTGAGTCAGTCGAGCATGCTATATGTAACTGCAATATCGAACGACTAGCGGGGGGCTGCGACCCTCGCACCCCCCTCGAAACTAACCTAACCCAACCTATCGTCACATTAACCGTCAGTCATTGTTTATTAAAGTGTTCAACTTTTTTTCTTAATAATTTTTTAGTAAACAGTGACTAACGGCTAATGTGATGATAGGTCGGGTTAGGTTAGTATTGAGTGGGGGGCGGGGGCCGCGGGAGTATATCAG